CCTGATGGATGTTACAAGCTCTGTAGTTCTAACTGTCCTGCCTTCTGTAATTGTCAGTTTAGTAGCAATCATACTTGCCTCCTTCTAATTAAAAATTTTTAAAATGTTTGCCTTAAGACTTCTGCATTGTCTTCAATTCCTTCTGTCCACTTTTTGTAGAGGAAAAAAAGTAAAAACAAAAACAACAATAATACGAAATTTCAAAACAATAGTAGTTTAACAATGGTCAATATATTGCATATTGCTATCTTCAAAGTAGTTGCTCAGATTATAAGATATAGGCATGTATAATTGATTGCACAATATAAGCACAAAAGTTTTCAATGAATTAAAAGAAATCATAGTATAACTCTCTTACCATATATATATTCTTTTCCCTCCTTTTGTTTGTCCTTTCACCCACCCCAGTTGTTCTCTCTTTTTGAGCTGTTTCCTTCCCTTTCACAATATCTGTTGTAGATTTTGGGTCTTATTTATTTTTTCAGTTTCTTACCCTAGGGAGACAATTCAATACTTACACTTGAGGGTCTGATCTGCTTCACTTATGAGTATGGTCTCTAGTTGCATCCATTTACTGAAATTTATTTTCATATAAAGAGACCTACTCAGCTATAAGGGACACATTTGTCCACTTTTTCTAAGTTCTAGGGATTGAACCCAGGGCTTCATGTGCTAGAAAAATATCCTACCTCTGAGCTACATTCCCATCCTTTCCATTTTCATATTTTGAGACAGATTCTCACAAAGTTGCCCAGGCTGAGTTCAAACACAAAATCCACTTGCCCCATCTCCTGAGTAGCTAGCATTACTGGCCTTTTTGCTCATCTTTATGTACTTGTTCAGTAAAGTTACAGGGCTGTGTTTTCTAGGGCAGTGCTGGTTTGTGCCTTCTTTCCAGTCCTGGTAGTTGACATTGCCCATTCAAACTCAAGACAGGACCCACTTTAGATTAATAAATTAGAGAGGTCAAACTACCGACCTTCCCATTTCTCTATTGTTTATGGGTGGCTCAGGACTCATGCTGATTCAGCTGGTGGGTTGTTTGCTTTTCTACTTTGATACAATGCATGATCTGTATGTGTTCAATAGAAACTCCACTTCAAATTCTGGTGTTTCCTTGGCTGGCGGTACACAGTACAACCCAGTGACAATGCTGGACAGTGGCAGGGAAATGCAGCCCCCAGCATGTCCCAGCTTCACCAGAGGAAACAACCACTAAATTATGTGCTGCTAAACTATTGGCAGTAGGTGAGATGTGTTTTCTTTTCCTGTCTTTTGGAGACAGTGTCTCCCTATGCTACCTAGGTTGGCCTCATACTTTTCCTCCCCCTGTCTCAGCCTCCCAAGCTGGCATAACTGTCATCCTAGCTTAAATGCATTCTTAACTTAGGATGCTTTCAACTTATGACTAGTTGACTGAGGTGTTGAACATCTGTATTTTTCTCAATTCTAGTGTCCCACAGCACTGTGCAGTTGTTATACTTCACAACTTGTACATTTTTACAAAGGACAGGAAGAAAGGAGTGATAAGCTCCACATACAAGAGAAATAATAAGTGTTTAAAAAGATGTAAGTGCATTAACCTGATTGGATCATTGCGTGCAGGACATTTATCAAATTACTACGCTGTACCCATAAATATGTACAACTTTTATGTGCTAATTTAAAGTAAAAATAATTGACAATCAACAGAATTCTGTCTTCATGACAATCAAATATCTTTCCAGCCTCCCAGCCCATCTTTCTCAACACCCAACCACTTACCAGTTCACAGTGAACCACATTATCTCCAAATGCAGGCGCTGGCTCATCTATTGTCAATTTATGAGAAGCACCCACTTTCAGTTACTCTGAGTCTTTTTGGCTCCGTGGTTTAGAGCCCACCAGGGAGAAGCCATAGCTGCTTGAAAGCACAGCTGTCAACAGATGTTGGTGCAAGGGCTGGGAATGAGGCTCCCTCAAAGCGTGCAGAGAGGGGCCATGGCTTCCTGCGAGATCCTCAGGGCCCCACCGCTGATTCTCCACCACGGTTCCCCTCACTATTGCAAACTCTCCTTGCTTTTTTATTAAGCTCATTTCTGTACTCATTTTTTACACAGAAGCAAACGTTTTAAACCAAGTTTTTCACAAAACATATTGCCTTCATGCTGATGAGGAACAGAAAAACCTCAGAGTTGCACGAACTGCATAATCAGAAGCGCGCTTCCCAGCTACAGGCTCACTTTCTCAACCGTAAGGTGCTAAGCCTCGTACGTTAGTACGATGAAGGAGAAATTTGTGGCAAAAGCAAATTTTGCAAATCCTAAGGCCTGGGCACATCCGAAAAGATCCTTCACCCATCCGCGTCCCCCTCCACCTCGAGCACTCGCTGCACAGGTGCGGTTACACCTGAGAGCCTCCCAGGAAATTCGCTCAGCTTATCTCTGCTTGCCAACCTCGGCTCTTAATTTTTCTCAATTCCCTTTGGAGTTTCTGAGTTGATTTCTCGCTTCGTTCAATATTCTTCATTGCTAGGGTTATGTCACATTAATTCATGTATTTAAATCATATCTGATGAGCATTTGCTGCCTGGCATTCTGAATGCATAAACCCATCATGCACCGCGACGACCTCTCCTCACCTCTGTGGCCCGGGCACAGCTCAGGTAAGTCTACGACTGCTATCAAAGCTTGGGGCATCTTCCAGCACCCCTTCTACCCTTCCTAAGCCTGTTGCTCCCTTTAGATGAGCTGATTCTTCACATTCCAACACACAGAAACTGGTTATTTTTGTACTGTGAGCCAGGCACCATGAATCTGTCGTGAAATAAACTCAGCTACTAAGAAATGCGCAGTGGGTGGGAAAGACAGAACAATTAAACAGGCAAAAACACTCTACTTCAATTTAGTTAGAGATATGTACTAATTAAAATGTTATCAGTACCAGGAAAGTGCTTCTAATGTGCTGTTGAGATATCCGGGTTGCTTCTATTCACTACGGTATGTGTGAATGACAAAATTATCATCACCATTATGTAGACCAAATTGGATTAAAATGTCACTTATGGGTTCTACCTACATTTGCAAATCCATAATGTAAATTCATAAAAATAAAAGAGCTTGCTGCAGGATGAGTGGATTTTTTTGTTTGTTTTGTTTTTGGTTTTTCTCCAGTACCAGGAACCAAACTCACAACCTTGCGCTTGCCAGGTAGGCACTTTGCCACTGAGCTAAATCCCCAGCCCAGGATGAGTGGATTAACGTCTGAATTCCTAGGCTCACCTCCTCCATCCCAGTGCTAAGTATTCTTCCTGCTGTTTTTTTTTTTTTGTTTGTTTGTTTGTTTTTCGGTTTTTCTCCGGTACCGGGAACCGAACTCACGACCTTGCGCTTGCCAGGCAGGCGCTTTTGCCGCTGAGCTAAATCCCCAGCCCCTCTTCCTGCTGTTTTAACATCTCTCTTCTCCAACACATGGGAAGAAGCTCTCCCAACTCAGGACAGCCCAGAGTCTGAGGTCAGTCCACGGAGTCTGTGTTTTCACGTTACTCTGTTTTGAAACAATCCCTCACCTATCTCAGATATGTTCGGGTTTGGATTCAACAACGGATCTCAGCAGTGAAGAGTCACTGTCAAGGGTAGTATGCTAATGGCCGCTACATTGATTCGGACAGTGGCTGCAGTGGGCCCAGCCTACGGTGTGACCTTGTGAATACATAATGCAGAAGATGATCGCACCTCTCCACACAGGACCAAATACACTCACGTGCGGAGGGGACAGGAATATGCAAGGGGGTTACAATTCACAAGGTGCTTCTGCTGTATGGCGTGAGAGTCTGGAAGGTGACATTTGCTCTGGATGATTAAATAAATTACCCGAGCTGTGAAGGCGGCAGTACTCTGCCGTAGGCCATCCTTCAGCCCTCCTGGCATGTGCTCCGCTTCTGAGGTTTTTCATGGCCTGAGAAGCACTGAAAGCTTTATTACCACACTAATGTCTCAGAAGTAGATACACTGGCACCAAGTTTAAAAGAAATCAGGCTTCCATTTCCTCATAAAAACTTCTCCATTGCCCTTTCTAATACAACCGAATCCGTTAGCGATTCACTCCCAAATTTTAGGGGCGAAAATGCAGGAGCCAGAACAACTAAGAAAACAAAAGTGTCAGAGTGTGAGAATTCTGTTTGCACAATGACTTTTTCAGAAGAGGAAAGCAGAGAAAACAGCATGAAGCTTCTTTGACTCATTCCCAGAAAATTTGACAAATACCTTTTGTGCCTGTTGAACTTTTCTAAATAATCTCTTGTAGAGGTGAAGAGACCACCTAACTCGATGGTTCAGAAATGTGCTGGTGAAGAACTCAGACACAGACACTGAGCAGAGCGCCGGCCTGAATCACTGCACATCTCAGACTTCAGCGTTAAATAGAAAATTCAAGGTGTTTCGCATCTGTGTGATATGAGTTTCCCTAAGCTCTCTGGGCTCGCTAATGTTGTCAGCTTGGCTGGGTTAAGAGACTCCTGCAGAGGTGAGTGCATTGTGAAGACATTCAACCCAACACCAGGTTAACTCATAGATAATTTCATAGCTCAGTGGGCTATCAGGAGGTGGATGGAGCCCCCTGGAGAAAGTGGGCCACAAGGACTATGTCTGGTCCCTGACCTCTTCCTCTCCTTCTCTTTCCAATGTACTCTGCTTCACCATGAGGTGAATAGGTTCCCTCTCCCATGCCCTTTGCCAGTGTTTCTGCCTTAGACCCAGCATGCCATGGACTAAAACCTCCGGAACCATAAGTCAAAACAAACCTCTCGTCCTTTCAATTACAAGTGTTTTTTCTCAGCAAAGGAAAACACTGACCAATACCCTTGCTTCCCCCAAACAGCTCCTATTGGAATGAAACCCTTTGTCTGTGAGTTTATTATTCTGATATTTTGCTGTAACTTTTCAGAATGTTGAACAGATTTTTAAGTTTAGCTTTTTCCAATCTGTGCAATAAGGACATGTTACTAGGGGGAGAAAACAAACCTGCTCTCTGAGAGCTGTGATAGTTTTTTTAATTTCCACTGCAAAATTGCTGAAATCCTGAGCGAATTTTGTTTTTGCCAGAAGCGTCACATTGCTAGCATCTTCTTTTACATCCAAGTTATCTTCTTGCCTGTTTATACAAGAAATACATAAAATGCTGAAAAATAAAAGTTGCATGGAGACTTTTAAAACTCAGCAAATGTTGCTTATTCCTTAGGCATTTGGAATGCACAAGGCATTGTGATGAGTGATGTGTGACCATACAAAGAAAAAGGTATGACTAGAACTAGGGATTAAAAATCAATGACATATAAAATGATAATCCAGGGTCACATGTGCTTCAGGTAATTTATCTAAAATGATAAGGGACTATTTCTTATGAAATAAAGGGAACAGCATGTTGTATTGTGTATATATTTTACAAATTATTTAGATCTCCAAATATGTTGTTTGCTAATAAATTGTTCTGTTCCCTTCACACCTTTAAAGAGCAGTGACAAATTAAATATTACACATTATGCAGTACCCAGGTGAGAGACTTGCCTGTTCTATTGTAAATTCATGGCAGGAACTAAATTTTAAAAAAAGATTCGATGACGAAAATGTGATCTTACCCTGATGTACAATAACTTCACGCAGCTGATAATAATAGACTCAGGTTGAACTTATGATAGGTTTCTTAAACTTCACTGAAGCTCTCAAAAATTACAGGTAAACAACTAGTTTTTGAGATAAAAATGAAAGTCCCATTCATCTTGGATTGCAAGGTATGGTTAAAAATAGCTTTCCTAGCTTTGATTTAGTTGACATGACATCTGTAGCTCTAGTTTTCAAATGTTTCCCAATGTTGTTAAAACTTAATCCTTGAAAAGGCATTGTGAATTCCAAAATCATTCTGCTTTGTTCTATTTGGAAATAAATTATCCATTTTTAATAAATAAAAGGTTTATCAGAAGCAGTACATCTTAATAGCCTGTAAAATAATTTCTGAATCAGACACATGTTAGAGAGCTTGCATCACTTAGGGCTTAGTTACTAGAACCCCTGTCCTCTAAGATATGGAAGTTGCAGGCAGCACTAATAAAAGTGATCACACACCAGGTTTTACTATCACACTGGGTTAAAATCAACTAAAGCATACAAGTGTAAAAGTGTTGATAGAGATAATTTTAATAAAAATTACTGGACATATTTATTTGCATAGTACTTTCTCCTATAAATCTTCAGTATCTAATTAAAGGGAATTTAACCCCAGAGATGCCTGGGTTAGCTGATGAAGATATAATAAAGATTTGAAATGACAAACATGGGAGCATGAGAAGTGGCTGACATATCAGATGTGCAGTATTCCCATGTAGCAAGTATGTGCTGGGCACCTGTAACGCATCAGGGGTTATGCTGGGATAGTGGGATGCTGGAGATGAGGTGTCTCCATCAGATTCTCACATTATGAGTTAAAAGACTGATAAACAAGCAGAAAATACAACATTTGCAGGAGGAAAGCAAATAAACATAACATTGTTCCCATAGTCAATAATACTATATTTTGGTGAGGTATATTGACATTACAAACTGCACACACTGAATGCACACAGTTGGATGATTTTGGATATATGTATTCGCTTGTGATACCACAGTCAGGGCACTAAATACATCCATCACCTCCAGAAACTTCCTGAAGTTCTTTGCTGTGAGTACCTTTTGGAGTCGTTTTTCCTTTCTGAGATGAGAAGACAGCACGAGGTCTCGTTTTCTAGCATATTTTTAGAGTAAATGCCATATTGTCGACAATAAGTGCTGTGCTATACAGCAAATCTCTAGAGCTTATTCATTTTGCGTAACTGAAACTCTATGCTCGTTGGGTAACAATTCTCCCATGTGTTTTTCCCCCAAGCTCCTGGAAACCACCATTCTCTGCTCTATCTATAAGCAAAATCATGTAGTATTAGTTGTTCTGTGACTTGTATATTTCACTGCACGTAATATCCTTTAACCACACCTGTTATGACACTATTATTTAAAAAATGATAAAGGTTGGTGAGGATCATACACTGCTGTCAGGAATGTAAAATGGTACTGCTACAAGGGGAAACAGTACAGAAATTCCTCAAAAAATTAAAACTGGCAACATTGTATATTATCGCAATCTTAATTCTGGGTATTTACCCTAAAAATTAAAATCAGAATTTTCAAGAAATATCTGCACCATTATTCAAAATAATAGAAACAATTCAAATACCACTGATGAATGAATGTCTAAACAATGCTGTATTGTACACTTAAAAATTAGGATAGTAGATCTCAAGTTTTACTACAATAAAATAAAATAAAGAAATAAATGGTACTAAAAATAATTTTTCTCATGGAAGGAGCTATATGCTATTTTAAAAATTTGTTACATACAGTCATACATAAAACATCACTTTTACTCTCAGTAAAAAAGGGACATAAGGTCAACTATATTCCTAAGAATGAACTTTCAACATAAAAATCATTTATATTTTGAATATATTATTTTAATAGTTTTTTCCATAATATAAAGTAGCACATTATTTTAGAAGAAAAATGTTAAATATAGAAATATTATTAATTCTATATTATAGAAAAACCTCATATAGAAAAGTCTAAATTGATGAGGAAAATGATTCTTTTCATTTAAAGATCAGTTTGTGATGATTCTTAACAGGAGAAATACTAAAAATGACATATTCTGAAGAATAAAATAACTGATATTGTCAAAAATTTTCATGAATAAATAAACAAAGATGAAGGTAATGACTTCTTCCTACGGAAGAGGGAAGCGATGAGTTAGGGAAGCTACATGGAAGATCCTCGTCTTTCCCCACCTCAGGTTCCATGCGTTTACCACCTGCTGTGTTGAGGGCCACACTCCCTGTGCTGGAGAGCAGGTCCTGTCACTCCAAGTGGCCAGCGGGGCTGCAAGTCCCTGGGTCCTGCAGCTTAGATGGGAATACCATCTTCAAAGGTTTAACAGGCCCACAGGATGCAGTTGTTAAATTGTTCAGCTGGGATGCAAATTAAGACTTACGAAAAGAAAAATGTCCTTGATCTTAACTCCTAAAAGGCTTGTTTTCCATCCATGAACAGCTGTGGGTCATTTTAAATGGTCACATTTGTGTTTCAGACAATGTGGAGACAGAAACCAGTTAGAAAGGTTAGTGTACAAAACAACCGAAAAAGAAAAGGAATGTTATGAATATGGCTACAGTTCAATTTTTTATTGAAAGCATGAAGCTCAGCATAGTTTAGAAGATAGTAAGATTTAGCAAGTTGAATTGATTGTAACATGCTTAGTGGCTGAAAGGAAGACTTAGCTTGAAACAAAAATGGAGTAAAGTGAGGGTGGAGGACAGGAAATTCAAAAGGATATCATTCAGAGGAAACAAAAAATGAAGTTACATCCTGAAGGACTCGAGCAAATTGGCCAAGAGGATTTGAGCCCCTCTGATTTAAAACTATGCTACTCAGAAGCACAGTATAGTAATCTACAAAGGATTATTGAAGCATATAGTTATAAGACAAGAACAAAACTCTCATGCTCTTTTTATCACGAACTGATTAAATGATCGATTGAATTCACAGCTGTAAGGTTTGTGTTTGACTCAAAGTGTGATGAGGCTGGTAGGAGGTTAAAACCAAAATAGACAAATTTCCAACCGAGGACTGAGGCAACATGTAAACAGCTCTTCAATGAGCCCGCCCAGAGAGTTATGAGTTCAGATGATAATGGAAAATAACCTCCAGCCCCAAACAAATAAAAAAGATCTTTTCCAAATGGGAACGGGACCAAGAGAGGGAGGGAGTGTGGAGAAAAGGGAAAAGAGGAAACATGAAAAGAATTCCACGTGTTCTGTACGAGCACCATCTCCCCACCATAAATGTTACTATTACATACTGCAAACATGTGCTAATAAACATTCTGGAGATTGAAAAAAAAAAAAGGACAATAAATCTTGGTGGTAAGAACTGTACAGAAGGCAGGTGATGTGTGTCCTGATTCATGTCATGTTCTGTGGATGCCACCAGAAGACTGAGTTCCTTATTCACATCTCATAAAACAAAGGAAATTCCCATGACTACATGGGTCCAATGCTCACTTTTTTCATAGCACCCTGATGAAACATACCCCCTGTTAGTATCAAATAGAAAGCAAACGAAATGCTATGTTCAAGGGCCAAGTGAATGATTTCCAACAGTTCTAACTGGGAATCTATCTCCTAATTACATTATAAGAAACTCCAGGACTACGTGAAATATATTTTGTTCCTCCAGCCTGGAATTTAAGACATCATTCTTCACTTCAACTTTTCACAATGTTCTTCCTCCTCTTCCAGAAAATTACTCATCCCTGAGGTCTGAGACACCAGTTCACTTAGTCACATCAGCCTTACACATCACTTTCCTTTACTCCATGACCTTCCCCTCATTGTTCATTCAGACTTGTGCTCCCTCAAACTCTATGAAAATCTCAGCTTCATCTTCAGCACAGCTCCTGTGTAGTGCCTATCGAGGGACCCCCAGTCAGAATTAATCATCCCTTGCTCTGTATGAGGAATCGCTGCACTGTATTTCACATCAGTTTTACATGCACACTTTGTTCAAGGAGTTAAAACCATCACATTTAAGAGAGTGTTTACCTAGTCCTGGTGGCACACACCAAGAATCGAGCTCCAGGAAGTTGAGGCAGGAGAATAGAAAGTTTGAGCCCACCCTGGGCAACTTAACAATTCAGCAAGGTCCTATCTCAAAATAAAAATAGCTGGGGATGTAGCTCGGTGCAATGCCTCTAGGTTCAATCCCAGTACTTCATTTTTAAAAAAGAATGTTCAGCATATAATGAGCACTGTAACAGCATTTGCTATTAGTCTGTGTTTTGTGGAATGCCTATAAAATGCTGTTATTACTAGTTGTTTTACTTATACATTCCCAAGTTAACACAATAATCCAGCATGCCAAGCATTTTGTACCCAATTTAAGCTGGGAAGATAGACTTGGAAATTTTATATAACTAACATTAGTTATGAAGAAGTGGAAAAGCATTTGGACCCCGGTGTGCCTAGGTTTAAAGTCCTCACTTGACTGTCACAGTGGCACTATGTTTGCTCCTAGATGTTACTTCACAAATTCACAGCTGCAGTGGAGGAAACAAAACCTGAAAGTGCATTCTGATTTTACCGAATTGTACATGGAGATGGCCGTGAAAGACAAAGACTGTATGCACAGGTCCTGGAAAGAATCTACCTTGTGCATGGGCTGTGAGTTGCAGTGTTGCATTGGCTGATTTAAATATGCAGATACAGATACATAATGAATGCTTACTAAATTAAAAGGAGCTACATGTTGTATTAATTCAGATGGTGCCAGTACTAGGTTATGTTTTCAGAAGGTTTCAAGCCAATGAGAATGAGAATACCTGTAAGGAAATAACTACATACCATATAAAACTAGTATAAAACTGTCACAAGAGAAGTCCTAAGAGATTTCAAAGGGGTAGGACTGACATTTCTCATCTCTCTAAGAGTGAAAAATATTCTATATTGGTCCTAAATTAGGTCTTGCTTCCAACACAGTACTCATAAATTAAAATTGACTTAATAAATAGCATCACCTTTCTTACAAACAATACACGATTTTCAAAATTAATTTGAAAAATACTCAAACCCATAATGTGATGTAAGTAATCAACAGTGTCCGTGTTGGGTAATTTTCACTTTGTTGAGAAAAACTCATTGCCAGTTATGGCCTGGATACACGGTTTCAGAATAAAATAGAACCCACATATATAATGGACTTCATCTGTGCTTGCTCCCTTGAATGTAATTTATCTTATATATAAATAAAACAAGGGTCATATTTATTTTAGGTGCTCAGATTAAATATTTAAAATGAATCTATACTAAATAGTCTAAAGAAATATTTCCATACATACCCACTAATAGGATCATTTAAGTCCATATCTTTCTTGCCAAGATAGCTGTATCCAGCAGAATGTCTCTTTTCCGATTCCGGTGTGGGTGTTTTGCGCTGTCCTCTATTCCTGCAGCCTGGGTGGGGGAAAGTATCCACAATAGCATCATTTGAGCAGATTTGGCACCTTCCTGTCTACACTACTCTTTAATGGGCAGAGTGGTGCCGATACATAAAGAAACAGCAGAGAGATAAAGAGTCAGAGCAAAGGAGAGTCCTTCAGTCAAAGCAGTATCACTGACAGCCCGCAGTTGCAGACAGTTGGTTTTACATGCATCTGAATATGTTCTCACAGCAGGAGGTGGGATACAAGACCATCTCCACAAACTGTAAAGGAGCCATAGAGTGAGCGATGCAGAATGTTAGCAAGGGTGTGAATCACATGGTGCACTTTATTTACTTGACGCAGTGAAGAGAGAAGCAGAAGCATGGTGGGTGGAAGGCTGGACATCGGGGGCTCCTCAGTTTGTCCCATTCACACCTGCTAACCAAGCATTGGTTTCTGAAGTGCTTTCTAGTGCACAGCGATGTTCACGCACTTAACGCTATGTACCGTGCGCTTCAGAACGGGCAAAAGGTAACTTTCCTGTCGCACATTTTTTTTTTATTTTAAAGAGAATAATAAAAAAAGAACAAGAGCAAAATACCAACAACATAGGCAAAAACAAAACAAAGCAAAAACAGTACAAATGATACAGGGTTTCAGAACAAAATGATAGGAATTAATAGTGGTCGTTATATTACATATTGTTGTCTTCAACTACGTTGCTCAGATTACCAAATGTAAGAATGCAAAATTCATCAAACCATCAAAAAGAATAAAAAATAAAAACAAAAAAAAAACATTCGAAATGATAGTTTCACTAGACAAGATGGTAGGAATTCGCCAATGTTTTTATTCTATTTTACCAATTTTGCATGCTTATATCTGGTAATCTGAACAATTAATTTGAATGCATACTTTTTATATCACAGTAAAAACATGAGCATGATATGAAAATTTTTTGTGAAATATGAAACTTTTAAAAAATAAATGTTCTCTAAAGTTTTATGTGAAAACACACTGAAAGCTAAAGCGTTCTGAAAAACAATGATAAAGGATTCTAACTTCCTAGATAGTAAAGTTGCAACACATAAAAATTTTCACCCTCCTTCTCCAGATCCCCTTCCTTCTCCACACAGAGGAGAAAGCAGGGAGAGTATGTACAATTGACCAACATGCAATATGTATGTGTACCAGTTCTCCAGTATGAATGTAATAGTTATGTATCACAAACATACACTGATATCTCAATATTAGTGCAAATAATACCCCCAGTAGAATCTGATAATTCCAAAGGTTCTGCAATCTGTTCAGTCAAACTGAAGATGTTAGACTGGACAGCACAAATTAGACAGGAGGGAAAGAGTACAGCTATTTGTGTTGTATAACGAGCGAATTATTTCTAATGAAGAAGTAAAAAATAATAAATCTTTACCTCATCATATGTAAATTAAATTCAAGAGGAATATGCCTTATGGTACGTTAATAAGCAAACAAGAATATGAAATTTAGGATGGCATTTTAAATAGCACAGTAAATTTCAAATGGATAGAATTAGATAAAAAGCAATATTTTGTGCATTACGCAATTTGGGCTCAAACTAAAATATCCCAAAAATAATAACTGATGTAACTAGAATGTCAGTAATGGTTGCTACTTGTTTTCTTTTCTTGATTTCTACTTCTGTCTTTGGCTTTGTCACCATTTTCAACAAAACAAGTCTTTTTGTTGGATCTAGAAGCAGTGCATTGAAGACAAACCAAAGCACCCAAGTTTATCCCATCATTGTCTATTGAAATCATTGAATAAGAAATTTCTGGAAATATGAGATCAGCAGAAAGACTATATCATTTCAAAATCTAAAACGTTTTCATAAAGCAAGCCTTGCTGAGGGATTCTGGATAATCAAAAAGTGACATGAAAAACATGAAATTCCAATGAATATTCAGGAACAAAGTTGGGATTGTGGCAGCAAATATATGGCTTAGCAGTGACCACATAGCACAGGCCTGAAATGGGCAGTGTTTCTTGTGCTACTTTTGTACCAATGTAGTACAGACAGTCTAGATGGCACCGTACTTATACTAAGAGATTCCAAAGGCGCCTACTTCCCTACTGTTACATTATCGCAACTGAATCCTCTACCTTTAATACTTCTTGCAGATCTGAGTGACAAAAAAAGAGTAAATATTGCGTAATATTACTAAAAAAGTAAATGTCAATCATGTAATGAGGCTTTTTTTACTTTGAAATAGTACACTGCTTTGTTAATAAATATGTATGGAGAATTTAATAAGTTATTAGATAAGAAACCACTTGGCAAATAAAAATGAATAAATCAAAGTTTTGATTTTGAAGAATTTATAGTGCTCACCACAGCATAACAGAACATTTCCTGGTAAACCAAATATGTCCTGTTCCAATTTTCATATAAAAATTTTTTAAAATATAGAAGGAACTACAGGTCATCTCTCATTGTCTCTTGTCCTTCATTTGTTTTTTGGAAAAGTGGAAATTTAGAATGCATTCATTTCAAAGCACCCAAAGAATGTACAAGGTCATATACAGAAAACCCAAGCACAGAAAGTAGTGTATATGAAGTCACAGGCTAGTAGCAAGCTAAATGTGCACAGGAAAAACCCATGGCACAACAGTGGCAGCACAGCTTTCCTTTAACATGACAGCTGAGGTGTTCTGTTCCAGATGTCTTTTTAAAATTGTCCTTGGTGTTTATTCCTAGCTACTTCCAAAATAAGCGGGACATCCTTGATTGCTAAATGTTTGACTCCTAAGTGAACAACACTTGAATTTAAATAGCATGTCAATTTGGTAGATGTTTTGGGTTTATACCTATGTATGCATATCTTATATAACTAAGTATATACATGAAACATACTTCTTTCTCTGTGTTAATGCATATGCATGTCCTCAAGTTCTGTTCTTAGACTTTGTATAAGTTATCTACCTGAGTATGTTTGCCATTTTTACCCATGCTTGAGGAAACAAAGGCCCAGAGAGATTACATTACTTTGTCCAAAGTCCTGTGGATTTTCAACAGAAGAGACAAGATTTGAATCCATGCAGTTGAACTCAAAACTGCAACCTCTTAGCAGTACACTACAGCACAGAACCAAAAAAAAAAAAAAAAAAAAAAAAATGGAAGTAACAAAATAATTTCCTGCATTCTGGCTTGTGCTTCTTGGGAAATAATGTTGGCATTATTTAGTATCAAAGATAAAAGGGAATGACTCAAATTTAGATGGGCTCAAAAGCGCTGTCAAATTTCTGTTCTACATATGACTTAGGGCATGAAATAGAGCAGATAGAGTGTGTAGTGGCTGATACACTGTGTCAACCTGAGAAGTTTAGAGGCTTGACTAAGTGACTCAGCAGTTCTACATGCTAGGCTGTAGAGGACAAGCCCTAGCTGTTTATGCTGTAAGATGCTGTAATGATTGATTCATTGTGTCTACTGGAGATGTTTAGAAGTTTAACTAAGTGACTCAGCAGGGGGCCAAGGTCCTCACTTGGTAAATATCCTCATTCTATGCAAGAGGAGCTCACGGAGGTGGTGTGGGTGTAAAGGACCCACCCTAGGGCAGGTAGCCTGCGTATAATATAAGGAAGGAAAAAAGGCTTCCCCTTCCCTTTTTTTGTTCTGTTACTTGTGCTGTCTTCTGCTGTTATGGACTGTTACCCCTCTAGCATGCCACCCTGCCTTGGAGCCAGCTGATTATGAGCTGAAACCTCCATAAACTGTGAGCTAAATAAACCTTCCCTCTTTAATTTTGGTATTGGATATTTTGCATCAGCAGCGAGAGAAAAGTACCTAAGACAGAGTGTTTCAAGATATATACAGGAGGGGCTGGGGATTTAGCTCAGCAGCACAGTGCCTGCCTGGCAAGCACGAGGTTGTGAGTTCGATTCCCAGTACTGGAAAACAAAACAAAACAAAAAAAGATACATACAGGAGATGTGGGTGAAGATAAATCAATATGACTCATTTCTAAGAAAAATAGTGGTGTGTGTGTGTGTGTTGATAAGTGTGTGTACACTACACGTGAAAACACGGCACACACTCAAGAAATATTTTGCAAGTCTGTCTCCTGCTCTTATTTTTTCTTCTAAGTCTCATTACAAATCTGGCTAGAAACAGCTGATTATACTCACACCATAGCCTCAGTGCTGTACTGCCTCAAGATTTCTTTCACCAGTTAAACAAGCCCATGACCTTTAAGCTTAGCTTCACACAGTCTCAAGGCATGGATAAATGTGTCCATACTCTTTGCCATGGTAGAACAAAGGTGGCTTCTCATCTAACTCATGAATCTTCCATTATATCTGAAACCTCATCAGCACAGTCTTTACTGTCTACATTCCCATTCAGGTCTTCTGAGCTGTCGCCAGGATCATCTGTGAGACCTCACATCATTCTCAACTCCTTTGGATTGTTCTCCCAAACTTTTTCAAATTCCTTTGGTAGGTAAACTGGTTCCAAAGCCTTTTCCATATCATCAGGTACCATCACAGCAACTATCCCACTTCTTGGTGCCATTTTTCTGTTCGTCAGATTTCTGTCACTATAGCAAATACCTGAAACAATCAACTTATAAATAGAAACGTGCTGGATTACAGTTTTGGAGGTTTTAGTCCTGTGTTAATTGGTCCCATCACTTTGGCCTGTGGCAAGGTAGCAAATCATGGCAGAAGTACATGGCAAAACAAATCCACTCACCTCATGGCCAGAAAATAAAAGGAAAAAGAGATTGCGACCCCATAATCCCCTCCCAGGTTATACCCCCAATGGCCTGAAGACCTCCACCGGGACACCTGTTAATGTTTCTACCACCTCCCAATAACAGCATGGTAGTGATCAAGTTTTTCCCACAGGGCCTGTGAAGCACACTTAAGATATGAGCTATATCAGCACCGCTTCTTTGCTTGCAAGAAGAAAAAGTACAAAAATTGAAAAGAAAATTCACAAAAAATGGCAACTGATTTTGAGGAGGCCTTCCACATAAGTCTATTCAATGC